GTCAGGGGAGTCTAGACAAGGAGGGCTTGGAGTGAATGGAGCAGTGCGCAAGGCAGGCAGTTGTAAGGTGACAGGGGAGCCATCTCAATTATAAGCCTTTATTATAGCAAACGTCTGTGGGTCAGGAGTTCAGCAGCAGCCCAGGACCACATTTCAGTGCAGAATGACATCAGAGATTCATTGCTTGAAGTGTGGCTCCCCGCACAGCTGAGTGCCCGAAGGACTCGCTGGGCTCCTCTGTGACCTTACCATATGGCAGACTGAGTCGCAGGCACCACCAGTCCATGCCGCTGTGGGACTGAGTGCAGTGGCCGTATGCGTGCAGATGGCAGAGCCTGGAGGTCGTGGGGTGTAGCCTCCCGGGGCCATCGTTGAAGGGGCTCTTCAGTGTAGACAGGAACGGTGAGAATATGAAACAAAATGGACCTGCGACCTTCCAAGGGAAGATTTGCCTGTCTGATGACTGCGCAGAAACTTCAGGAGAGATTCTTAGTGGGAGTTGTGTTGGTAGATGGAAGAACTACATAATAATGAGGAGAGGAAAGCTGTCTGGCTAAACAAATTTGGTTTAAGTGATTGAACAGTGGGATCCTTGAGAGCAAAGGGCCAGATGGGAAGTGTTTCAGGTTTTTGTGGGCCTCGGCATCTCTGTCAGAGAGCCTGGAGTTGAGAGTTTTTTTTTTAATTTATTTTTTTATTTTTTTCACAACCCTCTGAAAATAGCAGAGCTATTCCTGGCAGCAAGCTTGACTTGCCAGCCCCTGGCCTGGTAGAGTGTGCTCTAACCAGCAGCTACCACAGAACTTGAAAAGTACCCCAGAGAACCAAATGGCTTCTCCCAAGTGCTAATTACTACTGTATAGTCTCACAGTTGACTGCTCTTCCTGATGACTTAAAAGTTAACAAAAATTAAAAATACCCTTCCTGAATAAGTGAGCTCATGGCTGCAGCCTTAGATTCTCAAGCCTGCTCAACACCAGCAGCATCGTGGACCAGCCCTGAGCCAGGCCCAGGGGCCTGCTCTCTGCTCTGAGACCCACATAGCCCTTTGTTTTTTTTGTTTTGTTTTGTTTTGTTTTTCCCCCAAGACAGGCTTTCTCTGTGGTTTTGGAGCCTGTCCTGGAACTAGCTCTTGTAGACCAGGCTGGTCTCGAACTCACAGAGATCTGCCTGCCTCTGCCTCCTGAGTTCTGGGATTAAAGGTGTGAGCCACCACCGCCCGGCTACTCTGAGACCCGCACAGCCCTTTGGAGTGGGTAGTGTGTCCACGGTTCTTGCATGTTCAGCAGGCACAGGCCTACCTGAATTTTCTCAGATCCCTGTAAAGACCATACATCTGGCTCTTGCAGGACACCTCTTCCCTAACTCAAGTTCCCAGCACAATCCAGTTTCATATCCGGGGGATGCCAAGGTTCTGTATGGAATTGTTTGGAGCCTGGGGGTGTGGCTTACTGACATCACAGCAAAGAAAACTTATTTACGAAGGCTCAGCCCTAAAGGAGCCCATAGGTTGGAGAGAAAATGATAGAGAAAGGATACAGCAAACTCCCATATCCGAGCACTCAGGCTGCCTGAATGTGGGTTAAGTACAGACACAAAGGCAAACACCTTCCGAAGTCAGAACCTGTAGCTGCAGGTTTCTCTACCGATCACCAGTTCCTGAGTAACTACTCTGAGGCTTAATATTAATTACAAACTGTTTGGCCTATTAGTTCAGGCTTATTATTAACTAGCTCTCACAACTTAAATTAACCCGTTTTTTTACCACGAGGCTCGTGGATTGTTAGCTCACATCTTGTTCCTTTGCAGCTGCTGGCATCTTTCCTACTCTGCCTTCTTTCTTCTTGTATCTGTTTAGATTTCCTGCCTAGCTATATTCTGCCCTGCCATAGGCCAAAGCAGATTCTTAATTAACCAATGGTAATAAAACATATTCACAGCGTACAGAGGGGCATCCCCAAAAGCCCACTGGTTCAAATAGGTAAGTAGACACTCGTGTATGTGTGTGTGTGTTCAAGATTTGTGTTTTCATTTTATGTGTATGAATGTTTGCCTGCATGTATATCTGCACCACGTGTGTGCCTGGTGCCCAAGAGCCAGAAGAAGAGGGCATCCGATCCTTGGAACTGGAGTCACAGATGGTTAGGAGCCACCATATAGGTGCTAGAAACTGGGATCCTCTGCTCTTAAGAGCTGGGTCATCACCTCATCCTACAGATAGAATTTTACTATTGATTCCCAAGCCAAGTGGGTAGAGAAGCTTTTAAAATTAATCCCAGTGATTTTCTACAAGGAAGTCTGGCTGCACCGAGCAGCATCTTGTAACCCAGCTTGTAAGAGGGAATACCTTCTCTTGAATACCATTCGGCGACTAATGGCTAACATGGCGAGTGACAGTACCCAGTCACCTAGGATGCTTAACTCATCCCTTACTGCCAAACACACCCAATGACAGAACCTGAAAACTGCCATTATTCCTTCAACAACACACTGTAATAGCTATTTGTATAACACGCTGAATTAAGTATTAGTCATTTAGAAAATCTTAATAAAAATGTTGCAGGTTCATAGAAAACAAGCTGAGATGAATTGTCTTCGGAAGAATTTCCTGAGGACAAGTTTCAACACCATGGACACAGGCAGCCATAATGAGGCCCTGAAGGAGGGGAGCAAGTCTTTGGGCCCAAAGATGAGTTTCACTGAGAACAGTACCCATCAAGGGTCCTGAAGGGGAAGCCGTCATCCCCCTCCAGTTCAGAGACTCTGAGGACTGTAGCATCGAGCCACAGGCAGCATGAGCCCTGAAGGGAGACAGAAGCGGGGCTTGGGGGAGCTCCACACAACAAGAGCTAGCCTCCACACCCAGGAAGGACAGGCAGGAAAGCACCTGATAAAGATTGTCTTGGGCCTGGGTGTGGGGGCGGATGGGCTTGCTCACAGGTGTAGAGGGAGACCAGCGCTGGAAGCCTGGTAAGGTCCTGACATCAGTTCTGCAGGAGGCCTGCCCGAGTTCAGCGGGGTGGGGGGGGGGGGAGACAGCGGCTAGAGGCTCTGTAATCTGACATGACTTCTACTCTTCCACTTCGAGTAAAGGGCTTGAGGATCTGGAGGTTTGCATGTCACCCGAGATCCCCTGAAGATGGTCCTGTACAGACCACCCAGAGTTAACAAGCTCACAGGGGAACTATGGACTCTTCTGTTTAAACCATATATCCAGCTCTCTGGGGACAGTGTGCTTTTTGAGAAAACGAAGTATCCTAGCCACCGTTTATCCCAGCCATGCTGGTCAAAACGGCACCACAAACGCCTGCAGGAGGGCGAGAATGCACTGGGAGCCCTTTCCCTCGACATCCTGACCTGGAGAAAGGATGGACTCTGGGCAAGCATAATCAACTTCCTAAAACCAACAAAACAATCTTCCTACCAAGAAAGAGGCCAGAAGCGGAGCCAAGAAAGTGAGCCCACCGCCTTCCTGGCGCTCCTTTCCTAGTGTGAGCTGACTGCAAACCAGGGGAGGGTTGGGAACAACACCATGGCAGTGGGCCCAGCCCTAGCCTCCATCCCAGCATGATCTCCCACTCAGGGCTGTAGCCCACATGTTCTCTGAGTCTGCATTCAAGGGGCAGTGGCTGAACTCCCAGGCCTCCCAACCCTGCCAAGATTACGTCAGCGCTGTGGCACACCCTAGAGGCCCCCGTGGCTTCCCACACACACTATATTCTGTTTTGTGCCCCCATTTGGCTTCTAGTTTGTGCTTTTTTCAGTGGGGTTTGTTACTTGGGGGATCTATGGAACTCTTCTGTGGAGCATCCTGGGAGGCTGTCCTTCGCGATGTCTCTTCCAAGTACCTGAGGTACTGACTAGCTGTGGAGTGGGATGTGTGAGGCTGACATGACTGTATTTTTAGAGCTGACTTTTGCCTATTTTCTCAACTTAAAAATTAAGGCAGAACACTAAATCATAAAAATCTACTTTTATGCTGATGAGGTCCCTAAAGAAAGAGTTGTAGAATCCACTTCCAAACAAAGCAAAGGCTACAAACAAAACCCAACAACTTTACACAGAACTTATATTAAAAATGACTGGCTGGGTGGTGGTGGTGGTGCACGACTTTAATCCCAGCACTTGGGAGACAGAGGCAGGTGGAAACCTGTGAGTTCTAGGTCAGCCTGGTCTACAAAGCGAGTTCCAAGACAGGCTCCAAAGCTACAGAGAACCCGTCTCGAAAACTTAACCAAAGGAAAAAAAAAAGCAATGATTGCACGACCACACGCCCTAATTTGCATCACCTCGAAACGAGCATTACACACTTCTCGGACTGGTGTGACAGAAGATCCCCCCAACAGAAGCAATGTAAGGAGAGAAGTCTCTACCATAGTCCAGAGGAGTGCAGTCCACCTGGCTGCAGAAGTGAGGTGGTTTTTGTCACCAATCTGGAAGAAGACAGGAGTACCAGCGCTCTACTGACATTCTGTTCCCCCTTCTCTTACGTCTGGGGCCCTTGCCCATGGGACGAATGGTGCTGCCCACAGAGAGGGGAGGCGCCCTCACAAAGACACTAGAGTGTTTCTCCTTATTGCCCTAGGTGTTTCCTACTCCAGTCTAGCTGTCAATCAGCAGTCTATAACCATCTCAAAGTTAAAGAGCCATTCCCACAGAAAGAAACCTCGGTGTCCCACTGGGGCCCAACACTTTACAACGGTGACTGTGGCAAGAGGCCCTTAGTGACCTCAGGAGCTACAGGCCAGGTTTTCTGCAGGGACTTTTCAAGACATTGCTGCTCAGGGCTGGAGAGATGGATCAGCGGTTAAGAGCACTGGCCACTCTCCCAGAGGACCGGGGTTCAATTCCTAGCACCCACATAGCGGCTCATAAGTGTAACTCCAGTTCCAGGGGATCAGACACCCTCAGACAGACAGGTAAGACAAAAATGAACACTTTAAAAAAAAAAAGACTCTTGTTTAAACGTAGAAAGGAGACAGTCACAAAGATAGTTATGGTATAAACCCAAGTTTAATGAAAGAAGACAAACTTTCATAGGCATAGAAAAATTCTAGGTCTGTAAAAATTGTGATTTGACTGACAGGGAGAGCAGAGGTCTATACCAGTCAGCAGATTCAATACCTCTTTTTTAAACTGCAAGCAGGAATTGCCTATACATATATACACGTCTCTATACACATCTTTAGTGTTTTAAACCTTGGTTTGATGATGGTAGGAAGCCAGGCATGATGATGCTCACCTGTAATTCTGGTCCTTGAAAGGTGGAAGGGGTTCAAAGTCAGCCTCACATCCACGGTGAATTGAAGGCCAGATTGAGTTACTTATACTACTACAAGGAGAGGCCTGGCGGATCTCTGTGAGTTCGAGGCCAGCCTGGTCTACAGCAAGGGCTACACAGAGAAAAAGAAAACGACTACAAGAAACTCTAAGCCAGGAAGGAAAAGTGAGCTTGGGGGAAGGGTTTCAACCTAGGCCAGGAGCACACAGCCACCACTCAGAGCCAGCAGGACCATGGGAGGTAGAGGAGAGAAGTAGGCTCTTTCTTACATAGCAGCAGGTCCCCAACCTCTCCTGTTAGCCGGTAGAAGCTGAAAAGATGGCAGGGACCTGACAAGGACCCCAGTTGGGGCATGGTGGTGCACACCTGGGATTCCAGCACTTGAGATGCTGAGGCAGGAGTTTCAGGAAAACCCGGGTTCCAAGATCTGTCTCAACAACAACCAAAAAGAGCCAAGTATAGCAGCCCAAGTCTGTAATCCCAGCACTTGGGGAGATCAGGAGTTCAAGGTCATCTTCAGTTCCACAGCCAGTCTGATCTTGAAAATCCCAGTCACGGCTGGACCCTATAGTGGCCTCTGAAGAGCGTTCCACACCATTATTTTGGATATGGTACATGATGGGGACCCTGAGGGTCAGAAAGCAACTTCTTGTCCACCTTCTTCACAAAGGCGAGTGGAACACTATAAGGTCATGCGGCCACCAGGAACACAGCAGCCAGATCCCTGGGGAAGGTTTGGGGGAACCTACCCTGGCTTAGCTGGCAGGGCATGAGGAGAGGGGAGCTCTCCTTTGGTGAAGTGACTGAAGTCAGCAGGCGGAGGTGGCGCTCCTGCCAGGGGAAGCAGGCAAAAGCTTAAGACCAGCGCAGGGGCAGTGCAGCCCAGTCCTGTCCCAGCCCAGTGCTGTGGCGGCGTGGTACCTACTGCAGAAGCTGCCAGAGCAGGGCTCCCGACCACTCCCAGGAACCACAGCCTCGCACTGCTCGTGCCGGGGCCGATGCTGGACTGGGATACCACGGACAGGGAAGATTCCGGCAGTCCCAGCTCTTGCAGTCTTGACCGGAACCACTTCCGTCCGCACTTGCCTTTCCTCTTCCTTGTCCAGCCATTCTTCCTTCCTTCTTTTCTCCTTGACTCTTTTTGGTGCAATATCTGACTGAAGGTGGAGACAGCTTAGCTCTAGTTTACAAAGAAACAGAACCTGAGGACTCACCTCAGGCCTCCCTCCCTCCACACACAGCCCCCACAACAAGCTCAGCTCGGGTTGAGGCGAAGAAGCCTCGTCTCGGCCTGGGACTCAAGGTAAAGTTCTCTGGCAAACTTTGCTGACTTAGGAAAAAGCGAAACTGTCTTAAAGACACCTCAGACCCCACAGATTGTTGGCTGAGGGAAATGTGGGAGCAAACATGCGCATGCGCTGGGAGCGAGGGAGGGAAGCAGGCTGCAGCAGTCAGCAGCAGACAGGAAGTAAGGAGGTCCCGTCCTAAAGGGACTCTTCCTGTGACGCCAAGATGAATGCCAACCAATCAGTTGTCACCTTCCTGGGGGCTGAGGAAACCAAGGAACACACGTGCTGCTCCTTAAGGTAAGGGAAATGCTTTTGCCACCACAGGAACACAGCCCTGTAGCAGAACAATGGCTTGTACCAAGCGACTAAATAGGCACAAATTATACAAAGTATTCTTCATAGGAACATGTACAGACCCAGACCAGGAGTGGAGCTCAGAGATAGAGCGCTTACTCAAGTCAGCAGGTGTGAGGTCCCAGGTCCCATTATGCCCCAGCTAATAAAAATGATAACATTTTCAGCAAGTATAAATTTTTCCCCTAGACAAAACAACAACAACAAAAAACAAAACAACAACAACAACAAAAAAAAAAACCCTCAAGATTAAATCTGCCCATAACACTGTGGCCCAATTCATGGAGGCTCTTCATCAGCGGTGACCATCCTGAGGAATGTTCAGGAAGCCAGGTACTGAGACCTCAGGGCAGCAAATGCAACACTGCCTTCCTCAGACTCCAGCTGGCAACTGTTCAGGGATACCCCGGAAAGAAGTCTTGGCATAAACCCAGGAAACGAAAGCGGACAGACAGCAGGAAGCAGACAAACAAGCGTTCTCTCATGTACTGCATGCACACGGGTAATGAAAAGCCAGACTGTACCAGGTTAGGAAGTTACGGTGGTTGCCCCCGTGTGTCACCAGGCATGGGTGCAGACCTGTTAGCTTATGGCGCTCTCGGAATGTTCAATTATCCACTCGATGGCAGCCCAGCCCTGCAACAACACAGAAGGACTTCAGTTCTTGCTACGTGCACCAACCAAGTCACCAGCCTGCGACACAGAGAGACTGGGACGAACTTCACAGCAATAGGAACCGACTGGGACAGGTGCCTTTCCCCTCAGATCCTGGTCAGCCTTTCTGTTCCCACTAGAAAAACACAGGAATGTTGTGACCTTAGGAGCTCAACTACAAAGACCCCAGTTGTCAGGAGAACCAGACAGGTCACCACTTCCTTGCCCCCGAGGGCACCAGAGCCCCGTCCTGAGGTATCCACCTTCTTTGCATTGGAGGATATCGTGCTGGCCATTAGACTTTCCAGGTAGCTCCCGAGACTAATCCCCTTCACGGTGATGATGGCTTCCTGGGTGAGCACAGTCCTGCAGAAGAGTTGAAGTGAGGGGCTGGCTGACCCTGGGAAGGAAGCTCTGTCCACCCCTGCTGTTCAAGGACCCCATCCCAGGATGAGAAGACTCACTTTTCAGGATTCTCTGGATGAGGTGTGTACACCAACCTCTCATTCACAGACACCAGATTTGTGAGCGTGATCTTTAAAAACAAAACAAACACACATAAAAAATTAAAAAATAGGCCCAGCAAGGCAGTGGTGGCATACACTTTTAATTCCAGCATTCAGGAGGCAGAGGCAGGCGGATCTCTGTGAGTCTGAGGCCAGCCTGGTCTACAGAGTGAGTTCCAGGACAGACAAGGGCTACACAGAGAAACCCTGCCTCGAAAAACATATGTATACATACATATATGCATACACATGTCAATTCATAACTGGCTTTAGGTTTTAATTTTCTTGTATTTCTTTCCAAACCATCTACACTTCCAGTCCCAAATTAGCACTTATGAAAGCCAGAGAAACGAAATATCCTGTGCCCCCTCCCCTCTACACTGTATGCTAGGGAAGCACTGGGCAGCTCCTTCTGGTGATTATTTTATTTTTTTTAGATTTATTTATTTATTATGTATACAATGTTCTGCCTCCATGTGTCCCTGCAGACAGAAGTTGGCACCAGATCTTATTACAGGTGGTTGTGAGCCACCATATGGTTGTTGGGAATTGAACTCAGGACCTCTGGAAGATCAGTCAATGCTCTTAACCACTGAGTCTTCTCTCCAGCCCTCCTTCTGGTGATTATTGATCCCTCCCTCCCCATGGAGGGATCGGCCTTCAAGGCACTCACACAGAGTCAAGCCCCACCGGCAGCTGAGGGACAGACAATCCATTGGTAGTGTCCATGACAACAGTAGTGAACACTCCAGCCCATTTGCCATGCTGGATTGGGGATCCTGGCTCTGGACTGGGTGTGTTAGAGCTTGGGATTCACGCAGAGGCTTCAGCAGCCTCATCTCCAATCCTCCTTCCTGTCAGCCAGCTGACTTACTGTCGTATTTGCTACTAAAACCTACCTAGACCAGCAAGATAGCTCAGAAGATAAAGGTGTTTGTCACACAGCCTAGCAACCTGAGTTTGATTCCTAGAACCCAAGTAAGCAGGAAAGGACAGAACTGACTTAAAAATTTTTTAGATTTATTTTATTTTACATGTATGAATGTTTTGCCTGTGTGCATGTATATGCACCATGTGCCTGGTACCTACAGAGGTCAGATGAACTTATTGAATCCTTGGAACTGGAGTTATAGATGGTTGTGAGCCACCATATGGGTGCTGGGAAATGAACCCCGGGCCTTTGCAAAAGCAATAAGTACTTGTCACTGGTGAACCATCTCCCCAGGCCCTGTATATGCCCTTTGGTGGGTGCAATGGGGAGCTTAAAGGTTTCTTTGTGGAGTCCTGGCTGTCCTGGAACTCACTCTATAGACCAAGCTGGCCTAAAACCCAGAGGTCTACCTGCCTCTGCCTTCTAAGTGCTGGGACTAAAGGCACGTACCACCACACTTAGCTCTATATATGTATGTTTAATTAAAGAAGTAAGAGAGAAGGGGAAGTGGCTGTTACATTTTATTTTGTCTACTTACTTATTACATGTTCATGCGTGTAGGTGAGCATGCCACAGCACACAAGTGAAGATCAAAGGGGAGTCTGGAGGCCGGTTCTCTCCTTCTTCTCCCATGTGTGTTCAGGGGTTGAACTCAGGTCCTACGCCTTAGCACCAAGTACTTTTATGCACTAACCATCACTCTAGCTTCAAAAATGGCCACTAAGGAGCAGGGGATGGAGTTCAGTGGTAGAGGGCTTACCTACTACACGAGTCCCTGAGTCCCTCAAGCATGGGACAAGCAAAGCAAACAATGGCCACCAACTAGGGTATGATGGCATGGAGCTGGAGCCCCAGGTAAAGTACAGGGACTCTGGAGGCTGAGGCCAGAGAATCACTTGAGCTTAGGAATTTGAGGCTAACCAGGTTAACACAGTGAGACCCTATTTCAAACACCACTAGCAGTATCTCTACTGTAGGAGACACAGAGATCCTCGAACTCACAGATAAGCACAAGGGAGCCAGGCATGTTACACACACAGGGTTGTCTCTTCAAAGAGAGAGATGCTGACCTACTTTCCACCTAGAAGACTGGCAGTGGACATGGGTGATAGCCTGGTGTCTTTTGTGCCATCTGTATGGCTGAGACCACACCGGATCCTCCTCCTTAGCTTGAGCCTGTGTTCTCAGTTAATCTACAGAACCCATCTTTATGGAAGATGCCACTTGTACTTCACAAAGGGCTTCCATGTCGTCATGCCTTAAGTTTTGTTGTGCACACGGGACCGAGTTAAGCATGACCAGAAAACTTTTCACCAAATTGTGCTGTGCTTAAACTATCTGGGGTCCGGCTCTCCGAGTCTGAATCAACACCAGCTACCGAGCGGTGCTGAACTTGCCTCTCACAGACTGTCACTGTGCTGGCCAAGGTGTTCGCAGACACACACACACACCCTGCTGTGATGTGACTCAGGACACGTGCTGGGGGCTATTTGGCTTGATCGTGTCTGTTGCTTTTTCTGACTCCTCGCCCACACTTTGTGAAAGTTGTGTGTATTTTGCCTTAGTCCTATTTGTATAAATATATGAAAATTATACACAGATATGGGCACCATAATGCTCCTATGTAGATTGACATTATGCAACATTCAAATCAGGGTAGGTAATGACTAATCCCAGGACTAGGAAGGCAGAGACAGGTGGATCTCTGGGAGTTCCAGGCCAGTCTGGTCTACATAGTGAGACCCTGTCTCAAAATACACAATTAAAAGTAAAATTCAAAAGTCAGGGTAAATATATCTGTTTCCTCAAATATTTACAATTTCGTGGTGAAGACATTCCAAATATTTTCTTCCAGTTCTTGTTAGCTGGGCATGGTGACACACATCTGAAGGACATCTATGCATTCAAGGCCAGCCTGGTAGTCATAGGATACTCTAGGCCAGCTAGGGCTACATAGTGAGACCCTCTCTTATTCTTCTCCTTCTTCTTCTTATATGTAAAATACACAGTCATCCAGGTGTGCAATAATACACCCAGACTCAGTTTTCTTATCTAGCTGGTTATTGCCCTTTTCTTTCTATTTTATTTGTTTATTTGCTTATTTTGAGGAAGGGTCTCACTATGTAGCTGTCTGTCCTGGAACACACCATGCAGATCAGGCTGGCCTCAAACTGAGCTCTGCCTGGTACACACACCACCACCTATTCTATATGTTGATTATACTTGAATAAAAAGACTAGAAAAAGGTAGGTGTGGCGTAGCCTCAGCACTCCAGAGGCTTGGCAGAGGGATTACCGTAAGTTTAAGGCCAACCTGTGATATCCAAAGAGTTCCAGGCTGACCTGGGGTATAGTGAGACCCCTGTCTAAAAGCTTTGCTTGTAAAGATAAAACGCCACTAAATAAATTCAAATCACCTACTAAAAACAAGCATACCTCGAGCAAAAGGCAAGCGGGAATACAATTTAAGGGAGGCATTAGCGCCACCGTCAAGAAACATTTAAGCGCCTTTCTCATCTTAGACCTCTGCTTACATTGGTGGAACACAGCTCCATCGTCCTTGCAGCCGGATCCACGACAGAGCGCTCTTTGATGTATGTCAAGGTCCTGTTGGCTCCCAAAATCTAGGAGACAAAAGAAAACTACTATAGCAACATGTCCAGTTACTCATTTCTTCACACGAAATGCTCTTTACCTGCGGATATAGCAGTGGGCAGAAGGGTCAAACCCCTGGCAGACATTAGAGAACGGACTTAAGAGTTTAACACTTGATAGTAATCAATGTTCTGACAAATATTAAACCAGGGAACCCCGGGGATCCCGAGAAGGGAGGCTTCTCTGCCGGCAAGAGCTCTGAAGGAAAGACTCAGCCTGCAGGATTCTATGTCACAACCTGACATAGGATCCAAGAGGGGCAAACGGGCCACAAGGAGACAGCAGGAGATGCTAGGGCCATGTAAGGATCTGCGCTCTGAGTGGACCGGAAGCCAGCGTGCAACCATGCAGGGCAAAACTGTCCCGGCTGTTAAATTCCCACAGCTCTCCACCGACCCCACCCCACCCCCATCCCTGGCTCTAAGAGCGAGTGTGTCTACCTGAAGTTCCTCTGTGAAGGTCTAACTGAAGCATTACAAAATAGGGGGTTCTAGGCCTTGACAGATGTCACTGAAGAAAGGTCACCCAGCTCACTTATCCCAGAGTGACTAGTGTGCTTCCCAAAAAGCGGAATGGGACCCGTGGACAGCCCAAGGAGAAGAGGACGCAGGACTGCGGGGACCTTGCCCAGTCGTTCGTGGCATCCCTTAGCAGTAAGGGCAGACGGCCACGCAGGGAGACTCACCGCTCGCACGAGGCTGGGCAGCCCCCACTCAGTACTGAGCAGGCGCAGACTGTGCAGGCGCCCAAAGCCGTCCACGCTGCGCTCCAGCACGTCCACGCCCACCACGCACGGGTTCATCGGGTTTGGGTACTTCCGCATGGCAGCCTTGATCACCGTGTCCCAGGGATGGCTGGCAAGAGAACACAATCAGCAGAGTAAGTGGTCCTGAGGCTGAGAATCCGGGGTTCTGTCTGAGCCCCAGGTCCGTGCTGGGCCTATGCAGGGCCATCGAGCCTAGCTCACCTCGGGGTTTTCCTCTCCTTGCTCTCCTCCAGCCCACAGGAGGTAGAAGCGTTTTGTGGGGACTTAGCAGTAGTGAGACAGGCCTCCTTGTCTGCATCTTTCTAGAAAAACACAGGCGGGAGCATCTAACGAGTCATTTGCCTGCAGAAGCTGCAAGTGCACAGAGCACTCTCTGCCACTTTGAGGCAGATGAGGAGTTGGACAGAGACCACTCTCAACAGGCGGAGTCCCAGCTATACACCGAAGTGTGGTGCAACTGAGTCAGATTCCAAAGGAAGGGAGGCCTCTGCTGGCACCCATTCTAGAACAGTCCCAAGCATCCATACCAGAGTCTGCCTGGAACCACAGAGAGCAGGTGGAAGGTTGAACACCGGCCTCCATGCTGTATTAGAGTCTTCTAAAGGAAGAGAACTGATAGAGTGTATGTGTGTAATATATATGAATCATTTTATTATATGTGCTGCATATTATATATTAGATATATTTATTCTAAAAACATTATGATTTATAAATATTATAATAAAATAGTATAATATATATATAGCTCACTATCTGTGTGAGCCTGGATTTTATACACACACCTCAAACAAGGCAATATGTTAAAAAACACTGTTGCAAAGGTAGATAAGAGAATCAAGCTACAGAAACCCAGAAATCATGGATATTATTTTTCAAGTGCCAGCTCTCCAATTTTTGGAAAATGCAGTTGTTAAGTTTTTATTTTTTATTATTGAGAGAGGGTCTCATATATGCTCAGCTGGCCTTGAACCTCTGATATAATATAAATAGAATATCTATCATATATAGTACAGTCCCAGTCTGGTGCTGAAGGCCTGGAGGACCCTGAGAGCTGCTGGTCTTCAGGCTGTGCAGGAATCCTAGAGAACTGGTGCTGATGTCAGTGAAGGGTTGCCTTAGCAACAGGAAGGAGGAACTTGCCAGCAGGAATGAAAGCAGACAGAATGCAAAGCTTCCTTCTTCCATGCGCTTTGATCTGTGTGGCCATAGGGTGAATCTTCCCGCTTCAAAAACCTCATCATGAAAATCCCACGCAGGTTTACCCAGCAGTTTACACTTGAGTTGATTTGAGATCCAGTGAAATCAACAACCAAGAGCAGTCATCACCTTAGGCAAAGCAGGATGGTAGAAACTGATGCCCAAGATTTGCCTAAATCATCCAGGGAAAAGGCCAGTGGTTGTTGGGGGCTGTGGACCCCCAGACCCTGAATTTCCTGTAAACAACTTGCTATGCTTGCAGCTGCTCTGAGCAAAACTTGTTTTCCTGTGTTTGCAGCTGCTCTGAGCACGAGACCCTCTGGAGTTCCTGATGGCAGGAGAGTGGTTTCTGGTGAGTTTGGCTGGGGCGTGGCTATTAGTTAAGGATCCCTAATATAAGCTGCCCCTGAACACAATAAAGGGGGCATTCTTATTTCAAGGATGACCTGTGTCCCCATGTCTCTGTGTATACGTATGTGTGTCAATCTCCAGGCCCCTTGCCCGAGACTTGTGAACCGTACCGTAGCGTGTAGTAGCAAGTACAAGTGGTGGGGATGCGCGGGAAACCAAGCAAGCTGTAGGAGGACCAGTTAGCTCAAGAGACCCACCATGCGTACAGGACTCTGTTCTTATTTTCCATGTCTGCTTATTTCTAAAAGTTGTAGAGTTAAAGGTTTAGGGTAGGGTGGCTAAGAGGTAGTCACAGGGCCAATAGCTCAGCTATACCCTACCTCCAGCGGGTTCCGGGGTTCCGAAGATCGAAGATCTCGAAGATCGTGGGTCATCCCCTGGGGGCTCTGGACCCTTTTAGGAGGTGGTTGTCACAGCGTGACTGGGACTTTACAAGCTCTCTCTCTAGTCCTATCAACATTTACAGCGATGGCTCTTAAAGCAGTGGGGGAAAAGTGCTGGGCTCTCCCAGCAATGCAGGCCAGGCTCCAAACCACAGCCTGGTCACGGCTGCTCACACAGGCACTCAGGGAAACAGCTCAGGATTCTCTTAGGAGTTAAGTGATGAAATGGCAGAGTGGTTAATTTTATCATCCCTTGACCTCTGAGGACTCTCTGACAATCTGCAAAAGAACAGTCTGTGTGCCAGAAATACTTCTGCAGACAAGCCGCTCTCAGGCTGCCCTGGATAGATCAGGCTGTTGTGTGGGGAGCCCACCCAGCTCCCCACTGCCGCACCCCCTGCTCCCCGCCGCCGCCCACCACCCACTGCGTGCCCTTGGGAGGACAATGCACAAACGGTTTTATCAGACTTGGGGACCTGGCAGGTATTTTCTGGGAAGTTAAGGAGTGAGTTGTTGAAATAAGAGCGGCTGCGGGGCTGCGTCCCCAACACCCTGGCCGCTTGGCTAGCTCATGCCCAAAATAACAACACACAAACTGTATTCATTTAACTGCTTGACCCATTTCTACCTAGCCTCTTCTAGGCTAATTCTCACATATTAATTTAGCCCATTTCTAATCATCTGTGTAAGCACCCCAAGGTGCGCTTACCGGGAAGAGTCTAGTCTCCGTCCATCCTGGCGTCTCTGCTCCAGAGTGCAGAGCTGTCCCGGGTCTCTCCGGGAGCAGAGCAGAGTCTGACCTCACTTCCTCTTCCGCCCAGCATCCTATCCTGTTTATTCCGCCCACCTATCTTTTAACCTATCAGGGCCAGCAGTTTCTTTATTGCTCAGCCAATGAAATCAACAGATTGATGTATGACACTCCCACATCAGTGAGTGAGCCCGTCACTACTTTGTAAGAACTCTCTCTCTCTCTCTCTCTCTCCCTCCCTCCCTCCCTCCCTCCCTCCCTCCCTCTCTCTCTCTCTCTCTCTCTTTTTTTTGGTCAAAGCAGCGAAGGGAAGGGACAAAGACTCATCTTTTCCAACTCCCCGTCTGGGTGAGGCTGGACTGTATCCACCTCAATGGAGGCAATAGATTGCAAAATACAGGACGCAGAGGTGGGTAAGAGAATCAAGCTGCAGAAATCCAGAAATCATGGATATTACTTCTCAAGTACTAGGCCTCCAGTGTTTGGAAAATGCAGCTGTTAAGTCTCTAATTGTTGAGAGAGGGTCTCGGGGCTGGAGAAATGGCTTTTAGCAGTTGAGAACACTGACTGCTCTTCCAGAGGTCCTGAGTTCAATTCCCAGCAACCACATGGTGGCCCACAACCATCTACATTGGAATCTGATGCCCTCTTCTGTCATTCAGGCATCCGTGTAAAATAGAGCAGTCATACGCATAAATAAATACATCTTTAAAAAAGACAGAGGGTCTTATATATGCCCAGCTGGCCTTGAACTCCTGAATTTCCTGCCTCACCCTGCCAAATGCTGGGATTACAGGCATGTACCACCACATCAAGTTTATGGTGTTGGGGACTGAGGGCAAGGTTTCACACATTCTAGGGAAGCGTTCTACCATCCTCATCCCGATTTTTACTTTAAATTGTGAACCCGATAGGCTTAACACGAGGTATAGTAGCATATGACCGATCATCTAAGTACTCAGGAAGTGGACACAGGAGGATCAGAAATTCAAAGTCATCCTCAGCTACATAGCGAGCCAGCCAGGACAACATGAAACCCTGTGTCCAAAAAAAAAAAAGTTTATTATTGTTCTTTGCAATGAATTAATATTTTAAAATTTGAACTGAAATTTCTTTTATTTTCTTTGGATTTTCTTGAGACAGGGTTTCTCTTTGTAGCTTTGGAATCTGTCTTGGAACTCACTCTGTAGACCATGCTGGCCTCAAACTCACAAAGATCTGCCTGCCTCTGCCTCATGAGTGTTGGGATTAAAGGCCACTACCACGTGGCTCAATTGAAATTTCTAATGACAACAGAATTGGTTGGTTATTTGGAGGATTTTGGGGGAGGGAGGGGTTAAGACAGGGTTTCTCTGTGTAGCAGTCCTAGCTGTCCTGGAACTAGCTCTTGTAGACCAGGCTGGCCTCGAACTCACAGAGATCCACCTGCTTCTGCCTCACATGTGCTGTGATTAAAGGCGTGGACTACCACTGCCCGGCTGGTTGTTTTTTAAGATAGAGTCTCTGTACATAGCCGAGGTGTGCCTAAAGACTCTCTTTCCTAAGTGATGGGTTACAGTATACATGGCTTTCAGATTACAAGTGCTATGCCGGTAGACATGGCTCTCTGATATTGTAAAAGATATAATCAAGGACTAGAGAGATGGCTCGGTGGTTAACAGCACTAGCTGTGCTTCCAAAGGTCCTGAGTTCAATTCCCAGCACTCACACAGTGGCTCACAACTGCCTATAATGGGATTTGATGTCTTCTTCTAGCATACATAAAAAAAAAAAAACCACATAAATAAATAATTTTTTAAAAAGATACAATAAACGTAAACCAAAACTGAGGGCCTCAATATTTTTAAGAGTGTAAAGTAGTTCAATGACCGAGCAGCCTAAGACCTGCTGGCTTAAGCGGCCCCTTGGTTGGTCACTCTGACAAATACCCCACAGAAACCATCCAAAAGAAGGAAACATTGACTCTGGCTCATGGTTTTAAAGGCTTCAGTATGGTCACGTGTCTCTGCTGCTCCTGTGCCTGCGATGAGGCAGAACATAACAACAGAGGAACCAGAGTACAGTGCAAAAGCTCACCTCAAGACAGACAGACAGGAAGCCGGAAGGAATAAGAGGAGGGGTCAAGGCCAAGGCATCACCGTTCAATGACACGGCCCAAACCAGGTCCCAACTACTTGGTTCCACCATTTCCCATTATCAGTGTATTACACCACTGGTTAGGTCAGAGACCTCAGGAGCTAACTGATGTCCTATGGCAGTGGGTTCGCAACCTGTGGGTCATGACCCCTTTGGGGTCTAATGACCCTTTCATAGGGGTCACCTAAGACCATATGCATATCAGATATTTACATTACGATTCATAACAGGTACAAAATTAGTTATAAAGCAGCAATAAAAATAATTTTATGATTGAGGGGGGGCACCACAACATGAGGAATTGTATTAAGGGGTTGCAGCATTAGGAAGGGTGAGAACCACTGTATGGAAAAGCCCTCGCAAACATACCCAGGGGTGTGCCTCACTAATTTCCAGGTATCTCTCAATCCAGGGTGACAGCCAATATTGATCATCACAGGCAGTAATTATAGCAGAAACATGTGTCCTTTCCATAAGAGACAGGGCAAAGTATAGCATATTCATAAAGTGAGCGATTACACAGCTAGACAACCAAGCTATATGTATTATCAGTTTATATCCATAGACATATATCTCAGCTTGGACAGATCTCACAAACACACTCTTGGAGGAAAAAGAAACTGCCAAAAGATCCTTACAAGATGATGTCACTGATTTCTATTGGGAAAAACAAACCATAGTATTTGGATTTGTACATAAACATACATACATGTAGTCACATGGCTTTCGGCACAAACCTTTGGAATGATGTTCACCATTTACCATCTTGGCTGCCTTTAAAAAAAAATAAAAGAGGCAAAACTGAAGGGGAAAGTGGACATTTTCAGCTACCTGGACAGTTAATTCCTCTCTCCAGCTTTTGCCTAGAAAGCAAGCTAGCTATTGGTCCGTCTCCTCAAAGTTCCAGGGCCTGTGCTGATGGCCTGCCAGAGGCCAATTGCTGCCCCTACTCTGGAAGGACATCTGCTCTCTGTATGAGCTTCCTCCCTATGAACAGTGGCAGACACTGGCAGAGTACCTGGGATACAAAACAAAGAACTGACACAAGCTACCACATGGGTGAACCTCAAAAAAAAAAAAAAAAAAGCTTTCCAAAAGAAACCAGAACCAGCCTGGTCTACAAGAGCTAGTTCCAGGACAGGCTCCAAAACCACAGAGAAACCCTGTCTCGAAAAACCAAAAAAAAAAAAAAAAAAAAAGGAGGAAAGAAAGAAAGAAACCAGACCCAGAACACCACATATTGTATAACTATTTATATAAGATATCCCCCACATACACCACAACATTAAAATGGGTGGTAACACATTAGAGATTACAAAATTACAAAACAATAGAATTTAAAAAAAAAAGGACAGACTGCAAAAATGGTCAAAAATGTCAACACTGTTTTCAGAATCAACATTTCGGGACCCTTAGAGCAGCTCTGAGGGGCCAAGACAATACGCTGACTTCCCTGTACTGAATGCCTTTCCTCCCCTCTCTGCATTCAGACAGTAGAAATTATGCCTGAATCTCGGGGGAACCTCCTTCAGAAAGGCTGCAAACTTTACCTAAAGAATACATACCACCCGTTCTAAGGTTCCATTTTTAAAAGTTTTTTTTTTTCTTCAAGGATGGATTTTGTGGTGGAATACTTTTCTAGGAGGCTCGAAACACTGGGTTTGCATTTCCAGCACCATCAAAAAATAAAAATAAAGAAGTCAGAAGTTCTGAAGCCAGGCAATACGTTTTTATTAAAATGTTACACTTTAAAAGACAACGGATAACAAATTCTGTTTCAAGCAGTTTTCCCACTCCCCCGCCCCCGCTCACAACGAAACGATTCTCTAGACAGGATCAGAAATTCTCAAGATTCTTTTTTCTTGAAAATATATTAAAACACTCGATGACAAGGTGGAAGGTGCCCTTGGGTCAGGAAAACCTCTAGTTCGGGGTTTCTCCGGGGTCTTTGAAGCGTTTGTGTGCACAGGTATTCAGGACCAAACGCCCCAAATGCCTCCCTCGCATCTAGTCTTCCCCCAGATTGAAGCCCTTCGAGCATCATCTGTAACACCCGATGCGCAACTCCAGCCGGTTCGCAACACCCCCGCGGCGCCGCTTGCAGCCTGCACAGGCTGGCTGGGGATGGGAATGGGGATGGGGAGGCCTGCGTCTCCCACCTGCCTCCCGCTCCCCTTTCCGTGATCCCGGACCCGGAGTGCCTGCCTCTCCCGGATCCCCGCCCCTTCCCGAGGATGCGCGTGGCTCCGGCCTCGTCCACGCATTCCCCAGCGCAGCCCTCAGCCCGCTCACCCGAACACGTGCTCCGAGCTCCAGATCTTCATCGCCGCAGCCGCAGGCCCTAGGCGCGGGCTCGGCGCTCTGCGGGATGCTGCGCGACGCCGCGAGGGCGGGGCGCCTGCTGGACCGCCTCTTCCATCACGTGGCCGGCGCTGCAGCAGCTAAAAATAGGGACGTGGGAGGCGGGTGGTACTCAGAGCAACGCTGCGGCAGGGACTTGCAAATGGCAGCGCCAGGCTCTTTGAAGCCGGCCAAATTGTTCTTCTGCCCTTTCCAACCACACGGGAATGTTGTGGACAAAGCAGACTGCCAATTCAAAATAAAGAGTCTGGGTATTGAATAAGCTTGAAACCCCAGTGACTGGAAGCGTCACAGGCAGCCCAGTAGAGAGACTACAAGGACAGGTCCCTTGCCCCTAGGAAGCAGAAGCAGCGGGTTCTACGAATGCTTTCGGCATAAGGTATGTGTGGTGCCGCAGCAAAAGGCTTGAGGACAAAGGCAGACTTGGTCCTAGAGTTACCGGTAACTGGAGCGCGGCTCTACTGGAGCTAATTGCCTTTATGCTGTAACACAAAACAGTTCTCGCCTCAGAAGGAGTAAAAGACCCAGTTTGTTTTTGAGCCCAGTATGAGTGATCATGATCCAGGAACAAGGCCTGAGGTTGCCCTGAAGACATGTCTCACCAAGAATGTGGTTACACAAAACTGTTAGTTACAGAACAAAGAAAGTCACAAATCATGGCCTTTATCAAGAAGCCATAGCCATCAGAGCAAGTTGGGAACTTGGCTATAGGCCTTAGATGATAGCATTCTTAGCATTTGGTGAAAAGTCAGTGGTCTGCTGTGGATTGTACTGTAAAGGTTTTGGTAGGCAAAGCTATTTGATCGGACACGTGTGTGGGCGGTCTTCAGAAGGGCTGTATAGAAAGGGCTGTATATAGGGTTGCTGGATGGGTATGGCAGCCCACATGTGATCTAAGCTTACTGGAGGTAGACATAGAATCTAGCAAGCAAGGCGGCTAGCCAGACTAACAACAAGCTACAGTTTAGCAAGAGATTCCATACACATACATACATACATATGTATCTTCACACACACGTGCCCACACACATGCAGCTATGAGAGTGAACACCACACACACACAAACAAAAAAAGATAAAAAGGTATTAAAACTAGCACAAGATAATTTGGACTCTAATCCAGTTTGAGGCTGGCCTGGAACTCACAGAGATCCACTTACCTCTGCCTCCTGAGCGCTGGGATTAAAGGTGTGTGCCACCACTGCCCGGCCACATTCATTTCTGGAGTTCTCAGGTTATCCCATCTTACAGAAAGAGCTAAGGCCTGCTTGAACCTGACCCACAAGCTCTGTACCAAATCACTTCTCAGTGAGGACGGCTTCAATGTAATCTTCCTGCTTTGCAACCACCAAGACCAGCAACTAGATCTGATGGGAGAGGGAACTAGAGGGTCCATCTCTTTATTTTGTTTTTGTTTTGTTTTGAGACACAGTCTCGCTGTTTAATGCTGGTTGGTCTGGAAATCTCTTTGCAGACCTCTGTGGCCTGAAACTTGCGGCAATTCTTGTGCCTCTGCTTCCCAAGTGCTGGGATGGCAGGAGTGAAGTCCCACATGGGTTCTAGCTTAATTTTAGTTGCTCGTATATTCCACAGTTCATGGAAGAGGTTCTCGAAGCACCTGTGCAGCTAAGATCACCCAGCCCACCAAGGCTGCTCAGCCCTACATCCTACTTCACTGACCCTCTCTATTGCATTAAAGGCACAGTCTCCTGATCGCTCCCTCGCCTTCCCGTTTCCTTTGTGCATCCCCCTCTTCTTTCTCTGTGCCCTCCCTGGGAACACATCCATTGACTCCCAAGCCTGCATCTCTGTGGTGGCTAGTTTTATGTCAACTTGACACAAGCTAGAATCACTGGGGAAGAGGAAGCCTCAATTGGGAAACTCCTCCATAAAATGGGGCTGTAGGCAAGCCTGTAAGAGCATTTCCTTAATGAGTGATTGATGGGGGAGGGCCCAGCCTACTGTGGGTGGTGCCATCCCTGGGCTGGCGGTCCTGGGTTCTATAAAAAAGCAGGTTGAGCAAGCCATGAGGAGCAAGCCAGTAAGCAGCACCCCTCCATGGCCTCTGCATTAGCTCCTACCTCCAGGTTCCTGCCCTGTTTGAGTTCCTGTCCTGACTTCCTTCAGTGATGGCCAGTAAGTGTAATCTGCATAAACCCTTTCCTCCCCAAGTTGCTTCTGGTCATAGTATTTCATCGCAGCCATAGTAACCCTGAATAGGACAATCTCCATGCCACATTTCCACCAAGCTTTCTTCTCACTCCCACGGCCTGGAGGATTATAACCTCCCAACAGGTTCCAGGCACCGTATTCCTTGGGCTCGTTTCTCTTCAGTGCTGCTGTTGGGACCTGGAATATCCAAGGTCTCCAAGCTAGAGACATGTAGTCTGTCTTAAAGCCAGCTGGTCATGGTCTTTGGGGATTTACCTCTTGCACAGGATGCTAGCCCACTCCTCCACCCCCATCTTAGAGGAATCAGCAAGTCTGGGGCCAAGGTTGGCCCCCTCTTCGTGAACTACTTTCCTCTAAGCCTTAGAGCCTTTACCCAAGAAAGGAGCAGGCTGGCCGCAGCCACCCTCAAGGGCAGGTGATAATGGAATGAAGCCACAGAACCGGCTTTCTGCAGGGTGACCTGCCAGCTGTCATTGCCCTGCCTCCGGACTGCACCCTAGCCCCGTCCACTTCCTCCTCCTGACCGGTCTCACAGCCTCCTATCAGGCTGCCTGAATAAACGGTGCCACCTCGTGCCAGACAGCTGTGACTTGTCCTTGAGAACCTGTCTCCATGCCTCCATAGGGAAGACCTGCAGTCCTCAGTACTGCCCTTGGGTGCCCCTCCCCACTCCCAATGCTCAGAGCCGTCTGCACCTCTGGCCTTTAATCACTAAGCTCTGTGGTCAGTCTCTCCTACCAGACTCACGCTGACTTGGGGCCAGTTTCCAGGCCCGCTCACAGGCCTCTTGAGTGGGCTTTTCTGGGACAAGATTCAGAAATTGTACTTTTGCCGGGCAGTGATGGTGAACGTCTTTAATTCTAATACTTGGGAGACAGAGGCAGGCAGATCTCTGTGAGTTTGAGGCCAACCTGGTCTACAAAGCAAGTTCCAGGACAGCCAAAGAAATCCTATCTCAAAGAAAGAAAGAAAAAGAGGGGGAGGGGAGAGGGAAGGAAGGAAGGAAAGAAAGAAAGAAAGAAAGAAAGAAAGAAAGAAAGAAAGAAAGAAAGAAAGAAAGAAAGAGGGGCTTGTAAGATGGCTCAGCGGTTAAGAGCACTGGCTGCTCTTCCCAGCACCCACATGGCAGCTCACAGCTGTCCATAACTACAGTTCCAGGGGATCTGGAACTTCATACCAATGCACATCAAATAGAGTTTAAAAAATTAAAAAAAAAAGAAAAAAATTATACTTTTTTTTTTTTTAATGAGCAGCCTGGTCCATTAAAATGCTGGCTAAAGATTGAAAAGTGGGGCTGAACCTCTTTGACCTGTCCAAGAACAGGATCTGAACCCATTTGCTGTGCACACATGACCTGACCCAGTCTCTGGCAAACAGGAGGTACTTGCCAGGTGCTTGTTCAGTGACTCAAGGATCATTCCTAGACAGTGATAAGACAAAGAGTGCCCTGGCCCTGGGTGGCAGGCACACCACCCAGGATAACTCCCAGCCGGCAACCAATCTAGTGCTTCCAGCCCTGTTCTTCAACTGCTGACCACCTGGGGGAACCCACAGGCGTGCCCAGCAGTGGTCCTACTTTTTCGCTGTTTGAGATAGATTCGTGCTATGTAATGCAGGTAGTCTCACAGTCCTGATCCTCCTTCCTCAGATTCCCAGTGCTGGAATTATAGGTCTATATTAGGACAGCCAATACGGGTGTGTGTGTGTGTGTGTGTGTGTGTGTGTAGTGTCTGTTTGTGTGTGTGTGTAATTTCTTTTAGATTTATTTATCTTATGAGTATTTTGCCTAAATGTATGTATGCCATATGCATGCAGTGCCTGTGGAGACCAGAAGAGGGCATCAGATTTATAGACAGTTGTTAGCCACCCTGGGGGTTACTAGTATCCAAATCTGTCTTGAACCTTATTTAGCCAAGATGCAATCATGTAATCTTTTGGTTCCTGCGGTGCTCTCTTCCCAAGCCTCACTCACAATCTCTGAGTCTTGCTAAAAGTTTTTCCTCCTTATTTCTGCTGTGCACGTTAACTTTATACAGTCGAGCATACGTCGAGGGGGCTGTTGTCAAGGAGTCGGATGTTCCCAAGTAGTCTTTCAAGAAGGCACAATTGGGCTGGTTTTGCTTTGCCAAAGATTGAACTCGGGGTCTTGCCCGTGTCAGGAAAACATACTAGCTCTGAGCTACAATTCAGCCCTAAATCTAGGCACTTTATGACATCATCCGTTTACTTTAGTGTACTACTGAGGAAACATGTCAAGGAAAATGCTGACTCGCAGGGCTGGAGAGATGGCTCAGAGGTCGAGAGCGCTGGCAGTCTTCCAGAGGACCAGCAATCACATGGTGGCTCACCATCTACAGTGGAACTGGGTGCCCTCTTCTGGCTTGCAGGCATACATGCAGGCAGAACATTATATACATAAAAATAATTAAAGAAACGACCGACTCACGGGGAGGAAAGGGCTGATGAAGGAATTCTAAATGCCCAGCTGCTTGCAGGCAGCTTGCATTGCTAGCCCCTCAGGTTAGTGTTGTAATTTGTTATTCGTCGTTAACATCTAGAACCAGAAGTTCTCAGCCTATTCGAGACCCCTTTGGAGGGGATCGAACGACCCTTTCACAGGGCCGCCTAAGACCATTGGAAAACATATATTTACGTTATGATTCATAACAGTAGCGAAATTACAGTTACGAAGAAACTCGAAATAATTTTCTGGCTGGGGGTCACCACAGCATGAGGAACTGGGTTAAAGGGTCGCGGTGTTAGGAAGGTGGAGAACCATTGATCTAGACGCTCTTCAGTGGACATTTTTAGAGTCTCTCAGCTGAGACACAGTAACTAGGGAGGTCTTGCACTCAGCTTT